CACCTGGGTCTGAGGGGTCTCACCTGGGTCTGGGGGTCTCACCTGGATCTGGGGGTCTCACCTGGGCCCCCCTGGGGCTGCAGCAGGTCCGGGCGGGAGGCGAAGACTCCGGTGGGGTGAAGGGCCACGCCCTGCTGGGTCCGGGTGTGGAACACCTGGGGGACAGGTGAGGGGGGGACAGGTGAGGGGGGGACAGGTGAGATAGGGGATAGGCAAAGGGGGGACAGGTGAGGGGGGGACAGGTGAGGGGGGGACAGGTGAGGGGGATCCACAGACTCCGACACGTGGGGGGAGTCCCACACCTGGGGGACACCTGAGGGTGTCACACACCTGAGCAACCACTCACCTGGTACACACCTGAGGGGGGCCCACACCTGTCCCCAGGTGTGAATCACTCACCTGTCCCCAGGTGTGACATCACTCCCCTGCCCCCAGGTGTGACATCACTCACCTGTCCCAGGTGTGACATCACTCCCCTGCCCCCAGGTATGACATCACTCCCCTGCCCCCAGGTGTGACATCACTCACCTATCCCCAGGTATGACATCACTCCCCTATCCCCAGGTGTGACATCACTCACCTGTCCCAGGTATGACATCACTCACCTGCCCCCAGGTGTGACATTACTCCCCTGCCCCCAGGTGTGACATCACCCACCTGTCCCAGGTATGACATCACTCACCTGTACCCAGGTGTGACATCACTCACCTGTCCCAGGTGTGACATCACTCACCTGTCCCAGGTGTGACATCACTCCCCTATCCCCAGGTGTGAATCACCTGTCCCCAGGTGTGACATCACTCACCTGTCCCAGGTATGACATCACTCACCTGTCCCAGGTGTGACATCACTCCCCTGTTCCCAAGTGTGACATCACTCACCTATCCCCAGGTGTGAATCACTCACCTGTCCCCAGGTGTGACATCACTCCCCTGTCCCCAGGTGTGAATCACTCACCTGTCCCCAGGTGTGAATCACTCACCTGTCCCAGGTGTGACATCACTCACCTGCTCGGAGTCGCGGCGGGCGCCGTTGAGGGGGTCCGGCAGCGCCACCTGCGGGTACAACCCCCGGGCCAGCACCAGCCCCAGCAGGGCCACCTGGGGCGGGGCCAGGTGAGCCCCACAGGTGAGACGCAGCTCCCGAGGGTCGTGGCGCAGCTCGAACCGAATGGCCTGCAGGAAGGGGGGGACAGGTGAGGGTCACCTGGACAGGTGAGGGGCTCCTGGGACACCTGGGACAGGTGAGGGGGCACCTGGGGATTGACAGTGCCCACCTGGGACAGGGGAAGTGCACCTGAGACAGGTGAGGGGCACCTGGGTCACCTGGGACAGGGGAGGGGACACCTGGATAGGTGAGGGGCACCTGGGACAC